AATGAGCTGCGTGCCTTGAAGCTTGATATATCACACTAAGGGGGGGGCCTGGGCCCCCCCCCCCCCTCCCGTTGTATCCCCCCCAAAGGCCCCCCCCCCCCCCCCCCCCCCGCGGTTCAACTCCCAGCTGCAGGCGTTTTGGCATTAGTGGAGGTGTTGTTACATGTTGGAAATTGTTGGTGCTTTGTTTGGTAGTTCTGATTTTGGGGTGCGCATTCAAAACCAGGATGTCAAAGACATCATGCACTTGAATTTTGGATGATCCTGGGTAGCGGAAGCACACGTAATTATTGGAGAATCAAGATGACACTCATGGGATTTTGCATGCGTTTTTGCAAAACATCCACTGATTTTGTGTTTGTATTTTGGATTCATTGAGGAGCTTTGTCGGAAGCGTGGTCAGCTTCGTCGGAAGCATGATCATTTGCTCGTTTGTTCTTGTGGATGCATCACATAACATTTCGGCTGCGCCTCGTCAGTTGATGAATCCAACGTGTTTGAATTTACTGTCTTCGACATGTGTGGTTTGGCAAAATTGTTGATTGTATCCATACCCGCCAGATTTGCTACCGGCTATTGCCCCAAGACACTCTATTCCTTATACCTTTTACCAGTGTTTAGCCTACACTACGGACGCCCTAGTGTATGTACAGTCCGTGTGATGTCAGAAATGCTCACCCCTCTTTCCGACCCAAGGCATACAAAAGCGGTGGGTAAATTTACCCTCCAGATTTACCATAACAGTAAACCAGCTATTTCATCTAGACACTCTATAGTGTTTGTATTTAGGATTCATTGACGAGCTTTGTCGGAAGCATGGTCAGCTTCGTCGGAAGATACCCACCAAATTTGCTACCGGCTATTTCTTGAAGACACTCTATTCCATATACCTTTTACCAGTGCTTATCCTACACTATGGACGCTCTAATGTATGTACAGTCCTTGTGGTGCAAGAAATGCTGACCCCTCTTTCCGACCCAAGGCATACGAAAGCGGTGGGCATATTTACCCCCCAAATTTGCCATAACCATAAGCCGGTTATTGCCCCAAGACACTCTATTCCTTATACCTTTTACCAGTGTTTATCCTACACTACGGACGCCCTAGTGTATGTGCAGTCCGTGTGATGTCAGAAAAGCTCACCCCTCTTTCCTACCCAAGGCATACAAAAGCGGTAGGTAATCACGAAAGCTAGCATGCTAGCTGAGTTCTTCTTTGCTTTAGCAATTGGAAGTGGAATGAGCTGCGTGCCTTAAAGCTTGATCACGAAAGCTAGCATGCTAGCTGAGTTCTTCTTTGCTTTAGCAATTGGTAGTGGGATGAGCTGTGCGCCTTAAAGCTTGATATATCACGCTAACCCCCCCCCTCCCCCCCCCCACGGTTCGACTCCCAGCTGCGCCGTGTAGCGGGGGTTGGTTGAACGTGTGAACGTGGTTGGTTGGGTGTAAACGGTGGCTTGGTGTAAACGGTGCTGCTGCTGCCGCTCTGCTGCTTGCTGCTGCTGTTTGCTGCTGCCGCTGGTTGCTGCTTTTGTAGCTGCTGCTTTGCTACTTGTTGCGGCTTGGCGCCGCTGCTGCTGTTGCTGACGACGCCGCTGCTGCTGCTTGCTGCTGCTGCTGCTGCTTGCTGCTGGTGGTGGTGCTGCGCTGCTGCTGCGTGGTGCTGCTGGCTGGCTGCTGGTTGGTGGTTGCTGCTGGCGGCTGCTGCTGCTGCTGGCTGCTGCTTGCTGCATAGGCCTTGTACTTCACTGCTACAAGTTCTTTACCCTATTTCTAGCCTAATGCATGCATAAGCGGGGGGGCAAATTTACCCCCCAGATTTGCCGATCACGCATCTTCGTGCCTGCCAACGAGTGCACCCGTGTTGTTCCAATGTACCCTTCCCAGTCGGCGATGTCACATTTACATTCTTTAGCGCAAAGTGTGTACGTAGCAACCTTTCTCCCAAAACATGTAATCACTACATGCGTTGCCGACTATGTAACTAGTACATCCGGTGCGATTCGGCTAGCTTTCGACCTCCTCCCCCTGGCCTCAAGTTCATCAGTGTGCATACACTTATGATCACGTGGGCGCCCTATTGTATGTGGTTTGGTGCAGGCAATACTGTTAAAACGGTCACTAGGGTTCCTGGCGCAATCATGAGTGAGCACACCAAGCATAAGATGGATTTGGGGTTGCTCTGGGATGAGGTTCGCGCTTGAAAATCCAAATTGCACTGTTTGATTTTGTTACTGTAACTTCTTTAGTGTTGTTTTCCCTTTCACTAGCAAGGCAATCGTCAGTGCCTGGTCAGTTTGTCTTAAGCGATGAAGAATTGAAAGACTTGGCATCGGCGCCGCCCAGCAAACTGGAAGAGATGCGCGTCTCTGGAACGAAGCCGCTTGGAGTTTGCGTGATCAAGAGCTTTCATGTTGCTGATGAAGGGACCGAGAGACTTTTACGTTTTCTCGACCGAAGGAGCTCTTTGATTGCTTGGCAGGGCGGCAACCCACTGCAGCGTGCATGTGTTTCATTGTTGCTATGCCAGTATTTAGGGAACAGCGCAATTATTCTTTGCAGGACCTCCGGGGACAAGTCTAAAAATGTCTAAAATACCAGACCTACCGATCCCCACAAGGCGGCGCCTATATGGAGAAGCTGTGCTGACGTGCCTGCGTGGCGGATAGAAAAGCAAAGTCAAGCAGGAAGGGAACTGGGGCATCCAGAATGGATAGAATGTGCAATCCCACAAGCAGAAATGAGCTGGCATCGTTTTTGAATGGTCTACGTTCTTGTGCATATGCATGCACATGTGTGTGTAATGGTATGGTATGGTATGGTATGGTATGGTATGGTATGGTATGGTATGGTATGGTATGGTATGGTATGGTAATGTATGTATGTATGTATGTCACGCTCTTAGGTTCTATTGTGGTAGAGGCATTGTGATGTCACAAGGCTCCCTCGTGGTATGCCTCTTGTGCCACCTATATATATATATATAGTCCGTTGCACTAAACACAGATCAAACTTTGCGAGAGCTGTTGATCAGGGCAACATGTCACAAAGCAAACCCAATTCTCGCGTACGGTGCATCCATGACCCCTGCGACCCAAGGCCCCCTGCGATCAGCCGCGGAAGTTGGTCTCCGCTGGGTGACGCTCTTTGGCGTTCCTTGGCTGCCCAAAGCAGCGACTTAGCGCTCGACTTGGCTCCATCTCAAGCTCAGGTCGCCTGGTACCATAGGCGGCCGGGTGGATTTGGCAGACTAAAACGGTCTGGGGCCTTGTTCTGCAAGATATGCATTGCACCCTTGGCAGTGCCAAGTCAGTACTTGGAGTGGTTGAGATGGAATTGGCATAGGACATCCACACACTGAGGTCGTGGAGCATCTCTCTGCACGTGAGAGGCCACACCTGATGGCCCGTCGGGTGCAAAGCTTACCCCAAGCGGCAGCTTCTGAACAGGAATAATATTTGACCATTTTGGTCAACACCAGTCAAAATCCACGCCAGTGTATTGGTGTCAACATGTGCCAACTAGTTGTTGTACATTTGTTGATTCCATGGAGCTGTTTGCAAGGAGCCGTGTGCCTACTCCGCATGACACAGCATGAGTCTGTTCCTCGGAGCCTTGTCTTTCCCACTTCTTGCTGCAGGCAAGGAGATCGCCTTACCTTTTGGATACGCGTACCAGTAGCGTTTTGCTTACAGATCCATGGGCCCCAAGAGTCGGGCTCTCTTTTCACCAAGCACGGCCACACACACCGCCAAAGATATATGTCAGCGCTATGTCAGCGCTATCAGAACATGTGCGTCCCTTTTGGAAGACGTCGCGAGGTGTGTGGTTGTGCCTTTGTTGCTGGCGGAGCTGCATGCCAGTAGGACACGTACCTTAAAGCCTCATGTCTGGAGTGCGTCGAGCGTCCTGAAGGCTCTCGACCTTCACATCGCGCTAGTGCACTTATTGAGGTTTCCAGGTGTTCTTATACGATTTAGTTTCTTAGCACCGAATTAGAGAGAGAGAGAGATGTGATGAGAGGGAGTGGAGGTCATTTCTATTTCTGAACAGCTCAATGATTCTTCGCGCGTCGTGAAGAGCAAGCGAAACTAGAATCATGCCATGTTTTACGGCCTTTCTTGTAGATGCTTATTCTTTTGTGCCAATTGGATTTGTCCATTGACTCCATGATTCATACCATACCGCAACGAGAAATCTGGAGCAGCAAAACCTGGAAACCTCACCTAGTTCGCACTGAGGCTCAGTTTCACCTCTGATCACTTTCTCACCCGAGTGCCACGACAATGGCACACGGTGCAAGGGAACAAAAACCGATTGTACTTTTGGGATTGGAGAAGGAGTGTTTCAGGGGTTTGTCTTCCTCCTGCCAGATCAGCTCAACAAAAGGTTAAACATCTTTCTGATCGAATAGCAAGCTTTTTCGGTAATTATATTTGGTTGAGCAATGGTGATTAATGAATAGGCTCTGCGTGTGTGAGCAAGGTGAGAGCCAATTGAGCCTTTCCTAGGTAAAGTGCCACAGGCTATTCTCATGAATCTACAAAAGGGTTGAGAAGCTCTTGAGCCGAGCATGGTCGCCGTTTTGTTCTCAAGTGGTTCTCGCAATTGGCCCCTTTGAGGCCAGCTGGCACGTGTTTGCAAACTCACGCTCACAGGTGTCCACTGGAAACATGTCAAACTCCAACCTGTTCTTGCCAGGGTGCAGCGTTGCCTATGGTTTGAAGCTGAGTTTGTTGTGGGCGAAAGTCCATTCACTGCAAGACTGCAAGTTGGCTTGGGACTGCTTGGGATTCCATGTCAGTGCCAAAAAGCAACAACAACTGGTATCCAAATTATCTATACAAGAATTGACGCCAGCTACGCCAGCTATTCAATGCACTTGGTGTCGGCGCAAGAGCTTGCCAAATGATTCTGAGGCAGACCATGAGCAATCCCTGGAGGTAATGGCGTTTGTTTCAGAATGTTTCGATCCGCTAGATCCTTGCGAGTTTGTGTATACATATATGATAGCTATTGCTCACGATGTCATCATATGTAATCCTTGAGTTATGCAAGTGGGCCCCATGTTGGACAGTGTGACTGTGTGACCCTAAAGATGGAGCCAGTTGGTCATAATGGCCTCATTCCAATCATTTCTCATGCGCGCAAAACAATTAATTACTACCTACCTGCAGTTCCTGCCGAACAGTCATTGTCGGCTTACTTTGTTGTAAGGCTGTGACTTGACTATGCAGACCAAATTTTTGTAGGTTGCTGGGAATATGCAAGACAATGCACTCTGGTCCGCAGTGTTGATTTTTGTTGCTGCATGGTCCATTCTGGGAGGATGAAAGCACCGAACGACTACATCAAGAGCTTTCAGGCAGGGACATGCAATGAGTTTTAGTCGTCAAGCATTTCCAGCGTCAACGGCTGAGTCCAAGTGATAATTTTCCAACAGGAAGTTGTTTGTGGAGAGTTTGACCACTCTGGACAGGCGTGACTCCTGATGGCACTCCAGGCTGCCACTGCCTGGAGTTTGATTCTTGGTGGTCCCTTGGAGAATGCAAAGCATGAGAGCTTGAGCATGTAGCATGTTGGGATTTTGTCAATTGTTGCTATTGAGGATATAACCCTTGTATAAATATATATATATATGATGTATATATACACACACGTGGTTTGGTTTTGCAGACTGCAGATTTGTTTGCACAGCAAAATCCAAGACGAATGACTGGCATGTATGCATCTATAAGTTTTGCACCTCAGACGTGCGGGCTTTGGGACACAAGGCAAGCTTGTTTAGACCGGTGCTGGTCGCCCATTTGGGCTCCTTTGGTCCGCACATTGACACCTCAGAATGCGCTGCATTGCCCTGCCTTAGGAACGAAGGCAAGCAAAGACGCTTCGTGTACATCAGGCTACCGGGCAGAGGTGTCATTTACTATGAAGTTTCCTCGCCAATTCAAGGGCAGGAACAGACCCTCATCGGGCCTGTACAGCTTTCCCTGTGCCCAGCACTGGACCACCACTGCTTCACACCATGCACTGCTCAAGCTTTCCAAAAGCATCCGAAAGCCATTACCTTGGCCATCGCACCCTGCCCAATCCGCGACCCAGTCTTTGCACGGCAGGTATAGCATCACCGAAGGCGCCTTTCAGATGGCGATTGATGAGGCTGAGCACTGTCCAACGGCTTGCCCGCTTTCGTGCATGTCATTTATCGTGAGCATTTGGTGAGGGGCTGCATCGGCTAAAGCAATGAAGGGCGGCCAGTGCATTGGCATCATTGGAAATTATATTGAAAGTTGGTGGGTTCAAGTGCTCGGTTTAAATCTTGCAAGACCACACATAATCAGGTTATGGTCGCAGTGGCGTAAGTCAGAATGTCGAGAGCCATTTTGTGCTTCGGCATCGTCGGCGTGGCTCGACAAAGCGCGCCCATATTTTGTGCAGGATAGCAACCTCTACCACGTGCCTGTGGCATATGGCGCTCGCACGGGTGAGGCCTTGAACAGCCTGAACATCAGTATGCAACAGGCTAAGAAAATACAGTAGTCCTTTGAGGACATAGCAGCCAAATCTGTGAGAAATCTAGAATCTCGATTCTTGGCACCTGCTATGGCACCCTCGCCCATGATATTGGCCAATTGCTTCTGCTCTAGTGCCAGGCGGTGACCGCTTGGGATTTGCATGTGGGCGCAGAGGTGGACATCCTGGGGCGCATGACAACCCTGCAGGGATTCCGAGACTATTCAGTTATGGTCAGATTTCGTTCAGGATTTCATAGACCACCTGCCCAAAGGGATGTGCCCAAAAAGGATCATGGGCTTAAGAGCGCGGCGGCCACTATTCTGGATGCAAGGAGGTTCATTTATGTGCTAGATCGAGGTGCAAGGACATACACATGCCTGCTTACAACGGCTTGTGGGCCACAGAGTGGTTCACTACTTCACCGCAAGCAACCGGCCAACGAGGCAGCGGTGTTCGCAAACCACTGCCGAGTGGAACAAATATTGGGTGAGCTCCTCAATCGGGTTCTTTGCTTCACGGAGAGTGAGTTCTTGCTCCCCAAAGGGCCAAAGATGCCACGACATGTCCAAAGTGGTAGAAACCAAATCCGGTTCTGAGTGACTTGACCAAGTGATTTGTGAGCCAGATGCGTCTCTAGACTTCACACGGACGATCCGTCCTGCATGCCGGCATACAGGTGCGAACCGTCACTGTGAGGCGAACCGACTGATGCTACTTAGAGATCGCCTTGCCGAGGACAGGAGGGTTTTCAGCTCGATTCCTTTAATATCCTTGAATTCTGGAATCAATCTTTGCGTAGCTCAGCTCTGCTTGAAAAATACTCAAAAACACATGTTTTTCAGCTTCGACGGTTTAGGGTGAATCGCAGCTCTGATCACCGTAAATGTTGGACTCAAGACTCAAGTCGCTCAAGTCAGTCTGGGGGTTGGTTGGCCCTTGGTCCACTTGCAAGCCCATTTGCAACCCTTGAGTAACAAACGGATTGTTTGAGGTGCTTCCCAGTTTCTTCACTGCAGGCCCAAGCATTTCTTCTTAAGTAAGCTGCTGTCCTGTGATTTGGGTTGTTCTAATTACTGTAAGTCCAGCCTTTCCATGTTTTATCTCTTGACTGTTGCACCATGTTGGACCCATTGCGCATCCACATGGTGGAAGGAGCTTAAAAAGCTGGCGCCTCAGAGTGTCATACATATTATGGTAATTGAACTTGTTTGCACTTGATTTGGGCATCCGTCCATAGCAAGACCTGGGTGCTTGAACCAAGACAGCTAAGACCCACGGAAACCCACTGCTGCACGCATTCTATGCCTTCTTTGATATGAGCCCTTCTGTAGTTGCTCGGGACCTCCATGCTCTGGCAACATGAAATCACCGGCCGGAGACGCACACACCAGTGGCATCATACCAAACTTCCCAGCAGATTTTGAGGTATGACACCAGGAAAAATGATCCGTGGTTGACTTGGCAGAAGGCCTGAGGAATATAATGTGTCTTGGTGTTTCCATGCTGATCGCCATTGACATGAGCATGCGAAGTTGGGCACATCGACTACAGTCAAAGCTTTGTCAAACGGAAGTGGCCAGTCAGATTGATTGAGAGCGGCACGGCTCACCCTTTGAAAAGGGAAAACATGCACCCCCGATGTTGTGCCAAAAGAGTCTGGAAAAAGATTAAACATACTGTTCCCTTGCTCGTAAGCCGGATCGGCCATCACCGTCCGATTTGCATCGATTTGCTACCATCCGCAGGGCCGCATCGAAGCAGGGGGCGCCGACCTGCGGCTTCTGATGGGACAGGCCATGTTTGTTTGGGCGTGCTCGATTCCTTTCTTCACCAGGCAGCATCAAAGCTGCCACGTTTTCCCTCGCGTTCAAGTGGCCCCTCCCTGGCCTCCCTCAAACCTGCCTGAACTGAAGGTGGCAGGGCTGAGCGCCCAGCTCAATGAATATCGCCCCAGGCAGGGTGGGTGGGTTTTACGCCGGAAGGGTGTTTCCAAAGGAAGCCAACGATATCCCATGCTCAGGAACATGTTTGCCAAACATTGTTTGGCCAGCCGAGCTCAGCTGACTGGGCAATAAACAGCGGCAACCCTCACTGATATTGCTTCAAAAGAACGGAACGACTTCCAAAACCTTTTTGCTTGGAGTTGATGGTAGCATAATGTAGCATATACTGATCCAGATGAGCCCATTGGAGCCTCAGGCTTGCTGCACAATTGAGGATCCCGCAGGACATCGGTCAGGGTCGGACAGGTCAGGGTTGGTTGCTTCATCGCAGTCCGCGAATGTGACTTGTGTAGAGTGGGATGTCAAACCAGTGTGTGCCACTTGTAAGATCTTGTAAGATTCAATCCGGAATTGTTTAATCTCCCTCTCTTCTATGTAGCTCTCAACACAATTAGATAACCACAAGGAAAGTCGCCAATGACCGCTTCAAGTCATTCCCTTTCGATGCGGAAAGGACCATGAAAGGACGCAAAGGTCTGCAAGTTTCAATGGCAATGGGTTGCTCCGTTGCTCCCTCCACAAAGCCTGCAGGAGATGTTGATCATTGAAGATCTTCCCCGGAAACGCAAACAAGCTGAGGAGAAGGCGGGGTGGGGCTACCGGGCTGAGCAGAAGGCCGTTGATGCCCGACATGGCGAGCTGAACCCGACCACGCCCGTCAGGAATCGGAAGATTGAGGTTTGGAGAGGCCGAGCCGTGCTGTTTGTTGAGATTGAAAAGTGTTTGACTGTGTTTCAGATCTGCGTTTGATACAGAGCAAGGGAATGATACACGTTGCCTGCGAGCATGTCATGCGCGAGGCTTGCTGTGAGGCCTGGCATTCCAAGTGACCAGCGCGGTCACATGCAACAGGGTGTGTTTCTGAGCCAATTAGCTTGTCCCTGATTCAGGTAGGCGAGTTTCACGCTGCAAACATTTGGCACCCATGTTTTGTTTTGTAAAAGATTTGCCTGACGTCAATTTGTTTGAGTTTGCCCATGTTTGATCTGCATTTTTGCGTCGTTTGTTTTTTACAGGCCAGGTCAAGTATGTCACTCCGCCTACGTTGATTGTAGGAAGCGGTGGTTTGTTTGTGCCTGAGTTTGCAATTTGTTCATAATTCTGCCGAAATGGCAGGCTTGTGGTTTCGAACCCTGACTCGCGAAGCGGTAGGGTTCAAAAGATACACGCTTCCATTATATAAGAAGAAGGATCACGAGAAGCTTTCCGTGACCTCTCTCTCAGTTGCTCAACATGCGTAGTTCCTTTGACCTTTCGATGCACAGTGTATTTGCAGAGACTCTTGAGAGAAGTATGCACTTTAGCAGGCAATCCATTACTTGCAACAGATCCATTCATTTGGTGCTTCATTTGGCAGTTAGGAAAGCACACTTACAGTAGATTTCAGATATGCTTAGTTTGCCACTGTGTGCATCGTCGCTGAACAGTTGCCAGCCTTTTGGTTTAGTTTAGAGTATGGCTTTGGCCCGTGTGCTGTGCGCTTGAGCTGGGCAGTGCCTATCTCAGTCAGAGCACCAGCGGAGGTTGTTGAGTGGTGTTCATCAATGACGATATCAGGTCCAGACCGCCAGCATGGCGCTTGCAGGCATGATGCCCAAGCTTTGGTGGGATCGCTTGTTCGAAAGGGGCTCAAGAGTGTTCTAAGTTGCACACCTGTATAAGCTGTCCCATTGTGTGTGCGTATCCTTTCTAGATATGTGTCTCGCTCTTGTATGCATTTGTCGTGTGCTTAGTCCTGTATTTTGGCATATTTTGACACTCCCTCCCGGGTCCCTCCCATACGAGTTCCTGAAAAACTAACATGATTCCTTGCTGCCATTTTGGCTGCGTGTGAGCATGGGCACGGTATGCATGCTTGAGCTAAAGTGAAGGCACACTTTGATCCAGTCAAGCTGCATCAAGCTGAGAAGCTCAAACATTCTTGCCGCAAATGGTGCAGCTGAAAACCTAGCCAGTGAAAATCAAGTATAAAGAGGACACAAACATTACGAAAACAATAGTTGTTTCTCACCTTTCCTTCAAACAAGTGACTTGAGTCAATACTTGTACTTGACTTTCTGTTTCAGTCATTGTTTCCTTGTTTCAAGATCCAAACCTGCAGCCATGGGCCAGTCACCTGTGCTCCTCAGCCACAATTGCTAACGGTCATGCGTACCACTTCGATGCCAATGCAGTTTGTTCATTGGTTTGGCCCATTGCCTACTTAATCTATATACTCATAGTATTGGTAAAGCACTAATTAAGTATATAAGTATTTTTGTTTTATATTCTCCAAACGGTTTACCTTGGGGCTCTCTCTCTCTCTCTCTCTTTTAGGAAACGAAGGGCTGACTATGTTAGCCGTGTCCTCGCCGTCCAACCTTGTCCGGGTTTGTGTCCTGCTTGTCCGCGTTGTCGGCTCTTATCACCACCTTGTCCGGGCTTGTTTTCTTGTGGCTATGAATGTCACAGTGATTCAGCGTTTCAACTTTGGTTCCACGCTGTTCCCTGCATTTAATGATTGCATGCTGGTCCCAAACAGCTGGAGGCGATAAGAACTGGCAGTCGTTTCCACCAACATTACATTGGAATTCAAGGATTGGACGCAAAAAGAATCGTGCGGAAACTGTTGGGGGTTTATGCTGGTATAATCAATTGTTGCCACTCCACAATGCTATACATATATATATATATACTGATATATACTGTATATTACTTTATTTTGCCGGGGTGGATATTTGCGGGACCTAATGCCAATCACATGGCAACGTGACAAAATGTGCAGGGTTTTAGCGCTTGGCCTTGCAGCAAGTGCCGCTTAGGAATGCGGCATGCACCTGTTGCTTCAAGCGAGCAGAAGAGCATCAGGCACCGAGCCTTGCATTTGGTGGCTCTATGAAAACCTCGAGCCTTGTTTCGGACCGAACGCTTCGTTTCATGGTGTTTAATTCTAGAAGTTGGGAGTTGGTCTTGTTAACTCATTAACGCTTAAGCCTTTTTGCCAGGTAATGCCAGGCTACGGATATGGCCGACGGTCGTCTCGCAGTGTGGTCAGCGGCTCAGGGAATGCATTTACGGTCATTCACGTCAAAAGATCGCGTGCACCTGCGCACGAAGGTGCCACAAAGCGAGCTGCTGGCTACCCAGGTCCGGGGACAAATAGAAACATCTATACTGATACTGTGGTTTCAGAGTAGATGGCACAACCCCCAAGATATCTTACCCCCAAGATGGGATTGGGCCATCTACTCTGAAACCACTGTAATTCTATGGAATCCACGCAGGCTTGACTATGTGTTTGAAGGTGCCAAGCCTGAAAATTGTAGCCACAGACTAGGGAGCAAGATCCGGTATTGCATTTGTGCCTGTTCAATGGTGTCAGTATATACTGGTTCCGGTTTGGTTTGCAAACCCCGCGCTGGGAGTTTTCCTCCTGAGAGTCAGGCTCCTCGCACATTGGTGAGGACGGGACCCTGTATTGTGTGCCGTGAGGCTGGGGCTGAATGCCAACAATCCTTGAACCCCGGCCGAATGGCACATGGGGCTGTCGTTCGATCAGTGCGGGCAATTTCTCGCGATTGTATTGCACTTGTGAGAGCCCTTAGTGTAGGCATCAGTAACGCTACCCTCATGTTCCCACTAAGCTCCAATGCCAGGCAAGCGCAGATACGGTGTGCTTACCTTGTGGGCATTTGCTGGTCGCTCGTGAAGCAAAATCAAGCACTGTACAATATTATGCTTGGATTGATTGATGTTTGATTTGATGGCCTACAATCTACATGAATTCTGTTGAGCTGGCACAAGCAGTGACAATGGTTGATGATGCTTTGGAGGCATAAAGGCTTGTGTTTTGTTCGCGAGCATCAATTCATGAAGCTTGCTCAGCTGGCTTTGCCATGCTTGGCCACAAAGGTTTGCTTCAAATGCTCTAGACGGTACTACCTATCCGCAGCTTGTTTGCAACTATCCGGTGCTTATTGGCTTGGGTTTTGTACTGTTAGTACGGTTTGAGGAGTCATTGGACCTGGGCATCAGGATTGAGGAAAGAATTCATAACTTCATGTCAGGAAAGAGAGCTGAAAAGGAGGTTCACTGAACATGTGTGCTTTTGATGGCGGGGTTTCAATTCATTCATAGGTTCAAGATGGTTCAAGGGATCGATACATCACTACAAAGGACTCCGCCCTCATATTGTGTGGACAATTCATCAATAGAGAGATGAAGACCATTGCCGTAGTGTGATGGAAAAAGACAGTTCTGTCCTGCTATGTCAATACATGTGCACACAGACTCACATGCATGCTCGATTTGGCTCTCGTTTCCGTTCCCCACCTCTCAAGTTGTCTTGGACACTGAGGAGGATCGGATGCACCCAGACACCAGGCAGCTGAGAAAGACATTTTTGCTTGATAAGCTGAGCATGCTCGCGCGCGAGAGACTGAGGACAAAGCCAAAGAACAGAATGCAAGTCCTTTGACATGCGAGCCAGACATACATAGTTGTATATATTAATATAACTGAATGTACGTGCAGCTGTGGGTTTCCACTGATTGAACCAATCATCACGCCTTCACACTGCCCAATATGTAGAGAAAGCAAAGCAAACGAGCAAGCGCAATGTTCATGATCTCCACAACGCAGTGGCTGATAGATCGGGGATCCGAAAGGTGTCCTATTTGCAAGCAGCCCGTGCAGCACTTCCAGCGGGCTGACGCCTCAGTTGGCATGGGGCATCCCGTGCCTTCCAGGCCTTTAGCCCTGAAGGGCATGTAGTAGGTTAGAAAGATGGACAGCCTGGATAGCAGTTCGTGGACGTGGACTCTTTGACGAGATGAGTTGTGGACTGCACAAGTCCTTTAATTTTACAAGTGCTGCAGTGTGAGTATGCAGCCTGATATCGACATCATAATCTATCATCATGCTTATATATGTAATCTCCAAAGGATCTATATGTACCTGGATTTGTCTCCATTGCATGTGAGTGTGGGAGTTTCCCTATGAACAAGGGGTGTGTGAACCTTCAAATGTGTCGTCACCCCCCAAACGCCGTGCATATTATATATATACATAAATATGCATGACTGGATTCCCCGAAAGAATAGAGGACTGGCACGGATCCTGCCCAAGCCTTTTCACACCTCGGTTTTTGTCACGGACAATCTTCAGATGTCACTCAGGCTTTGCTTCAGTCGCAGGACACTGAACATTATTTGTGCATTTTGTTGATTTGGATGAGCGGCGGCGTAGCCGGCGTAGCGGACTCTCTTTTGAGCTGCAGGATCTTGGGGACTTTGCTCTTTTACAGTGCCAGTCTCCACTCCACTACCCACGTCCGCTAGGCACATCCTCACCCCTTCCTCACCCTAGGGTGTCCTTGTCAGGTGTTCAGGCTAGAATCTTGAAGCTGATGAAGATAATGAATTAGCCGCTTCTCCAGTGATTCTACAGTTGGGATTTTGATGGGTGCACTCACTGCGCTCCTTGCCATTGTACACGATATCAAAACGTTTTTTGTTCCCCGGCCTTTGGTTCAGGAGAGGCGGACCGCTTGCACATGACTGGCTCCCAGCAAGTGCTGAATTTTTGACTTTTGATGAATCTTTCTTCGCTCTAAACAGCTGTGAGTCATTTGAACAAGGCTGCTTGTAGACGTGTAGTAGTAGGAACTCAGGGTCAATGTATCCTGAATTTGCGAAAAGCTGCCAGGTTTCACCTGCAGACATGTGCGACCTAAGCCTACAATACATGCAAAAAGACTTCCCTGCAGCTGCAATGAAAAGCTCGGTGGTGCTGAACATCTTCACTTGACGGGAGTCTGAGTGGCTCGAGCAAGACAAAACTAGCCATAACTACCCGCTTGCGCATGATGTAGCATTGGATGCGATCATGTCTACGAGATTGTCCGCACCACGGGCGGGATCCTTTTAGTCTTAGACCGAAGCCCGCCCTCCGAAGCCCGCCCTGTTTCATGGGTTGCCAGGGATTCCAGGCCCCTCAATTTAGAAGCACAGAAGCTGCCTTCGACCCCGCTCCCCCCAGAAAGTTTGCATTTTTGATACCTAATGCCAGCCCTGGCAGAGAGGGATCTACCAGATAGACTGACTTCAATCACCTGGCATGCGGCATACACGTGATGCAAAAGGCCATCGTTAGAACCTGATGTTGTTAGGATGTTAGGATATGTTAGGACCGCAACGGTGATGATTTGCTTTCAGACCGCCGGAGCTCTCAACATCTCACGCGCCAGTGCGGCCAACATGCGTGACTTTGCGAGAAAACCGACAGGAGGAGCCGGACACATCCGGAATCGAGCTCCGACAGTCAGTCACATCGGTCATGTTGATGTTTTTGATTCAGCTTTTGATTGAGTTTCAGTATTCCTTGCATGACTGTGGGCTTGACTTTCTGGCAATACGGATCCCAGGTTTGTTCGACTCAATGTTAACGGCATGCCGAAAAGAGGACCATATGAGAATGAGACATGATGGCAACATTGCCTTCCTGAAGTTTGGATCTACTTCGCAAGACTTGAACTTAATTAGACTCAGACTGGAATGCATGAATCTATCTATATACAGATATGAATCTAAGATGCGTACAGTATATATAAATATAGTATAATATAGAATTGAACAAATTTAGTTATATATATATATTGTTTGTATCAAGGTCGGCGAGGTCATGTCAATCCTTTGGCTTACTGCCGCAGGCACTTGAGCGTATGGCCATCATGACCAATATGGGACCTGATCTTAGTTTTCAATATCAGGTGGTGCCCTTGGATTAAATATTATTGTTAGAATTGTTAGACATGGGCACCGCCTTGACAGTGCAGAACGAGGGTGCGGAACCAGAAACAGTTCGTACACGCTTGTTTATTAGGTTCGAGTTTCCGCTGTTCGCATTTTTGCTATGCTTGTTTGAAGCAGATAATTATTTGATTGAGTCCATTTTCAGCCGAAGCCATTGATACAGCAAGGCGATTCTTCAACCACTTTTTGTGCTGCGCAGATAGCCACCTGCATGTGGTTTGTGGAAGCATTGAGGCCTTCATGTCTTCCATCCAGAATGGCAGACTGTGCCCTCAGGTGCTGAATTGTTTCAGATTCACCAGTGAAGGGAGAAAGCTTAATGTACATTTGTTCACACATAATGTGATTTGTTTGTGTTGTATGTTGGCCTAAGTGGCAGAAACTATGCTTGCCCTATTTGCAGGCAGCATGCCACGGGGGCGACAATATAGCACCACCTTCAAGAGCACGACGATCAGGGTGTTTGGCCTGAGGCTGAAGTCACTGAAGCCTGCTGCAGCACCACTTTTCCAGGAGTATGCAACTCTTTTGTTTGGTTGCATTGTTTAGATACACCAACACACACACACGTATATGATATGCATATTCTTATACCTGCTGCTTCAATTTAATAAACTCAAGCATTGTTTGTTCCAAACCCTGTATTGCCACTATGGAGTTGCTTTGCCATGTCAAAGAAGCAACTCACGACTCACGACCCACCTGTTGCTGTGCCATGATTTCCACTATATAGCACTAGTCTTGTCTCCGAGGTGGTGATGAGGAAATCACCTTCCCAGTGCAGACATGCACAAAATCGGGAGATGCCGCTTGGTACACAACCTTTGGCCTTCCTCAGGTTTGTCAGCCATGATGCCATGTTCATGTTCATGACGTTCATGAGTCCGACCAGAGGAACTCAAACGGACACACGTCCATGGTCATGGGGAGGTGTGTGTAATCGAGCGGTCTTGACACCTGAGCCAGAGCTATTGGGAGTTGCGCCCAGCTGGTGTTTTTCCCTTTTTCATGTTGCCCGCATTGAACTGCTGAGATGCCTGCAGCCAGAGTTCGCCCAAAACAGTGCCGCGAACAACCACTTGCTGGGCCGCAGTTCGGTCACAAGTTTGCCCGCCATGTATGCCAATGCGATGAACAATGCAGCTTGGTCCCTCTCCATGGACCTCGGCGAAAAGCAGTATTGCGCACAGTATGACGATTATGGCTATGATTATGAGGGCAACTTCCAGGACTGGATGTACTACGTGGACGAGATTGAGACAACGGACACCGGGTCTTATACACCGTCAGAGGTTGAGACAATCGAGGCATTCTTTGATCCTTGTGGCACAACTCCCACAGTGAACTCGCCAATGGGTGGCTCGGTCAAAGTTCTTGCTCCGGATCCCTTGGTGCATAAACAACCCCAGTCACCGGTTTTGGTGTTGTTAGTGCTAGCAAGGAGTAGGTAGGTTGAAGCTCGAGTTGGGTCCAGCGTGTGAGTGTCATTGGAAGGTGATTGGCTTCAACAACATGGCTTGCTTTCCTCCATGCCGGCGGATATGAACTTGATGAATTCCAAGACTATTAACTTTGCCTCCGGGCAGCTCCTGGGCTCAACCAAGCCCAGTGGATTTGAGTGATGTGAGCGAAGCAAGGGGATCACCACAAATTCAACATACATTTGTTGTTCTGCATATGATGAATTGCTCGAAGGACAAACTCATGGTGGAGCCAACATGAACTCATCGCCCCATTAGTTTGAAGAAGGAGTTTTCCCCAGCTCCTACATAGGCAGTGGGCCATTTTGTGCACCTTACGTTCTCGAGGACCTCAGTCACCTCAGGTTCTGAGGTTGATTCTCCGGGCCCGGGCAGAATGATGAATCCACTCAAGTTTGATATGCCGGGTTGGCTTCCATTGCTCAAGTGAAACGGGAATGTACCCATTAAGAAAGACCTCATTGGAGATGGACAATGAAATGAAAAGGATTCGCAGAACCCTGGAAGGAAGGACCTCCATCCAAGAAGGACGCAGGTCCGGAACACAAACCCACTGCAGTGCGCGGCTATAGTATAAATATAACTACTACAGTTCCTTTGCTTGCTCCTTTCTGCTCCGTTCGTTCACCTGAGGTTTGCCACGACCCCGGGACCGAAACCGCGAATTGCTGTGCCCGCTACAGAGCCCATGAAGGCCGCAGTCGATGTAATGAGTTTGAGGAACACTACAGCAAAGATCATTTCTTCAATAAAGAGTGATCAAAATGAAGATCACTGCTGTCACTGCTTACATAAGTTCTAGGAAACTTCTCTATATAAAAGAAGCCGACAAAACGCACTAAGTCAGTAGGAGATCCCAACTCATAGAAGCGATGAGCTTTTTTTCATCCTCGTTTCGTTCGACTGGTGTTATGTTTTCCTTGACCAAAATATGTAATGTTTGGGTGCATCATGTCAAAGTAACATGTACCAACCGGGCCTGGCCGACCAGTGAACGCCAATTCTCGTTCAAATATATTTAGGCGGCCGTATAAACACAAGGCAACTTTGTCCTATGTTTCCAACGCAGAGCTTGGCATGGCCCATTGAATGATCACGTTCAACACACTGGCACTCTTTCTGTCATACAAAAGTTGGCTGGAGTCTACCGCAGGTGATGCTTCCCGCAGAGGCTCGGGGATTGCCTCAGCTTCATCCCAGCTACTTGGTGACCAACACATTTATTACACATGTGCATTCGAGTTTGCATTCGGTCCCAAGTTTCTAGCTAGTTCCTGAATGTTCCTGGTATGCGCTGAGGGGTAGGTCTACATTGCTGCCTGCCATGTTGTTGCGAAGTAGATGCTGATGTTTCAGTCAGTCATGGTGCAAACCAAACATCACCACGGGTCTAAAGCAGCAAGCTTTGTGATGTGGTAGTTCTTTTCATTCTGTTATTCTCAGTGCTATCACTGTATTCAGTCTACATTCAGCACTGCGATAGAAGAGGCCGCTTGCGTTGGCCGCTAGCCGACATATTCATGATTGCCATTGATTGCCTAATAGAACAGCTGTATAGGATATTGGGAAACATGAATGCCGTTTTAGCCTTAGCTCCCTAGGTGTTTAGTATTGACATTCAGGTTTGCCTGCCAAGAAGATGCCAAAGTTTGCCACAGAGTTCGGATCGTGCCAGCGGAGCTTGGACCCAAAGTTGCCGGCCAAGAAACGTTTGCCAGAGACTTTGACGGAAGCCAGCGCCTCGCATTTGCAGCGACTGGGGAGGTTGCCTTCTTGCCAGTATTCATATATGTCAAATTATTTTGCAACCAAGAGTCCACCCTGCAATCAAAGGGTTGCGAACAAGTATTTTGCAATCGGACTGACTGACCTGAGAGCATCCTTTCCATGTTTCTATACTGTAGTCGTTGCAATGTTTACAAACAGCTTTTGAACATTTTGGCAGCCTAGAAGTTGGTCTCTTAGGATGTCGCTTTTGCTTCAGGTGCCCGAGTGATTGAAGACGAGGTTGCACCTGCAGCGCGCTGAAGAAGCACTGACAGGTGGCCAGCGGGCGCGAAGGAAACAGAGTGTCTCATATCTCTCCGGAAGTGGCAGGTGTTTGATACATCAACCGATACAGTAATGGATTGCTGACTCCCCAGCATTCCAAACAAAAGACCAAAATGAATCTCTCTCTCTCTCTCTATGTATATATAAATGAATTATCGTGTACCACTTTCGGATATCAGGCCATGATTGCGATTTGGCAGCACCTGGTTAAAGTGCTCCTCGTTCCAGAGGTTTGATTGACGGAGGTCAACCTATTGGAGTACTTGCAGCAAGGTTTCTTACGTACCTTTGCAATGGCGGAATGTGCTAAGGGTGTCATGGTGCCAACAGGGCACCATGTTCATCGGCAATTATATATCCCCAGCATCGATCTTGTGGAGAACAGAACACCTGTTTGCAACATCAAAAAACAATTCACAGCGGCAGCGCATCATCAACTCTGTGTTTTTGAGTGACCGCATGTCATGGAAAGCATGGGGGTTGTAGATTTGCATGCCCCGCGGGGCATACAAGGCAGATTAGGACAAAGCAGCAAATGCCAAGCATTTCTGACGATGGAATTCGAAGCTTCGAAGTATGCTGGAAACAAAGGTGGCCTACAAAAGGCTACAGTTGACCTTCGTTCGAGGACTGCAGGCTGGAGAGAAATGGCACGCTGAATCGCCTTCATGCCTTTGGATCCAAGTATGATGCATGTTTCATATCCTCAAGTTCCCTGCCGCTATCCAATGCTTTGCCAAGTGACCAAGTGAGGTGAAAGAAGCATTGTGTTCAGCACTCGGTGCAGACCCCGAAAGTGCCCACCTGAGGTGGGCGAGGTTGGAATGTCATGAGGGCGACCTAGACAAACTTCTAGGGAACGGATGCAGTTCGTGTCAGCTGTCCGTGGAGGCAATATATGGCAAGCCATGGATTCTTTTCGGGACTATGTTCTTCCAGATGCGTTCATAGGGAAGTTGGAGCAACTAGCTTTGCATCAGTTTGAAGATGGGATGGCAGACGAAGCATGGAAGACTTGGAGCAAGTGGCCAGCGGGGCTCATCCACCAAAGCTGAGCTGAGACTTTGGACAACCCGTAAGATGAAAAGAGTGACAGATGCTTGCAGCTTACCCTCCTGAACTCATATCAGCAGGAAAGGCTCACGGCTCATAGAGATCAAGTTCCCACGGCTCATAGAGATCACTGTGCTGAGAGTAAACCCACACCGATGCAGATGGGCTTCACCAAAATCCTTTCTTTCAAGTCCATGTTGTGTCCATGACTGCTGCATGGCGCTTTTGGCTGGGATGCATTCTATTGTGCTTTCGTGCAGGCAGGTCAACCACAGTATCACAGTGAGCCCTCACAGATCGCCAAAATATGCCATGTCAGACCGCCAAAATGTGACCAAAGATTCGCGGGCAGGCATCCTGCAGCTAGTGCCCAATGGCTTTGCAGATATCAAGGACTTGCGTCGTAGCTTTCGAGGCTCCGAGCATCAGATGCATCCTGGTAGTGGACGAACATCCATTAATTCCAATTTTTGCAAGCCACCCGAGTCAACCCCCCAACGTTTTTCTTCTCCTTGGCCAATGCGGCGGGCTTGGCATACATTTGGACCACAGCCTGCCAGAAGGTTCGAAGCCTCTTGCAGGAGGCCTTCATCATTGGCGACCTTCATGCAGATATCCACTGTGCAAAGCAATGGGTTAGGAGGAGCCAGGGTTGTGCAACAGAAACTGAAACAGCCCCGCTGAGAAGAACATGTTTTGTTTCCAAGGAGCCTGCAGGGCTGGAACTGCTATAGCTATTAGCTGAGGTTAGCAACAAACATCCAGGATCAAAGATAGTGAATATCAGGTCAAGATGCTTGCATTTGTTGTATGCTCGTGAGGAGTGGCTTTGTCGACTTGAAGGCCTGGACATGGACAGGTGGGGCAAACGCTGCCTTAGTGTTTCTTGGCGACTACGCAGCTCAGCAACGCAGTTGGTAGCTCATGTGAAGGTATAACCGGTTTGCCCAGTGAATAGACAAAGAAGTACTATTCTGTCTATGTGTGTATGTGTTGTAGAATGTTATGTTATATATATATATATTCACGTGTATATATATATATATATTACTTTTTGTAACATATATCGCATATTATGTATATTTGTGTGGCACAAATGTTTTGCTTTTCGGGAATCCTAGGAAGGCTAACAAAACCGCCTCTTGGCAGTTGCTGCTTCTAGGAAGATTCTACGTCGAAATGTGGCAAACAACAGCTGCTGAGGGGTTGCATGATTCACACTGATTCGCTCAGGGAAGGAAAGGTAAGGAAGGGGTTCCTTCAATTTATTGTTGTTTTAACTTCTTTTTGTTTGGATTCAGATTTGCTCAGGTAGACCGGGGGCCCTTTGGACGACAGGTCTTAGAGTTTGTGCGGAACCTGACGCTAAGCTTTCCCGGGCACGTGCTCCCGTTGATGGGCCGCTGGATGCAAAGGCAGATGGGGTTGATCAGGGGCCATAGCAACAATGGACTATATGATGCTCTTTGCATTGTCTTTCAATGTTCGACCAATCGTGGATTTGCATGAGGTCCCTTTTGATCCTGGCATTGCTCCAACTGAGGCAATCATGACTTGTACACGCTGGCCGACGCACTGCTTCCTGATGGGGCCTCACTTTTTATGGGCGCCCCAGTGAAAGATTTTAGCTATGCCTTTGTGCACCCAGCCCCTTGGTCCAATGCAGTTTGTTCAGGAGGATCGTCCTCCACGACCTGAAAGGTACCAGTAACAGTACTGTATACTTCCAGTGCTGGGCAGCATGTGCATTCTTCCAGTTCCGGATTGTCCACTTGCCATTTGCTCAAGGGAGTTTTATTTCTGGCCCAGCCAAATGTGCACGTGGTTGCAACATCGGCCAATTGGGTTAGGGTCGGAGCAGCCCACAATTGCAATCGCTTGTAGCACCTGGTGCTTCATTTTTTGCTCTCGATTTGGGCCTTGCAAGTCGATCCTCCCTGCTACATTTGATACATCTTGTGGCAGCCTTCAGCCAAGGAGGAATACCTCAACTGGCTGCCAACGGCCGAGCAGGCTCAGTCTGCAGACTTGGGTGCCTTTTAAGCACTTTCCGATGAGCTTTGGTTTTGCTGTTGTGCAGCGTTTCCGACTTTGCTTAGCTTTGGACACGTGCAGAGGAAGCCAGCTGAAGCCCCTCCCCGACCACTTGTATTCTATCCTTCTATATAGACTTGACCACACCACAGACCACCTGATTCATATTGAGTGGTGGAATTGCGGGACCTGTCCCAGCCATTGCAGGCCGACGATCCGACGGTTTTGATGCCCGCGTTGTTCGCTGCTTTGCAGAACGTTTATGCTCAACATCAGGAAAGCCGAGTCTCTAGCCTCAAACATTGAGTGCTTCGAAGTACATTTTGGGCCAGTAACGAAGCCCCATTTGATACTACTGTAATATGTTAACTCAGTTCTTCCGTCTTCCCATGGTTCACTTCACAATGCCCAGGATTGACCGGTGATTTGTCAGTATCTCCGATGATTCTGCTGGGGTACGACCTTCTACCGTTCCAAAGCCAAGCAGTTTTGTGAGGTCATGCTGGCTGGAAGTGGCGCTCGCAGCATATTTGACGCTCGGATAAGAACACTTTCCAGGCCAAGATCAGCAGTAGCAAGGTCCGGCCATTTGGCACAGCAACCACAACGGCAATAACCAGCATACTGGCAACATCAATGACGGCTCACAATGGCAACCACAATGTCAAATCACAATGCACAATGCTCTCCAAATGGCATTGGGAAATCGGGTGGGCAGAGCTCGAAGCAAAGTAAATCGTTGTGCTCCTTTGGCGGCTTAGGCTAGCCTTCAAGTGTCAGCGTATGTGGTTGACTAAGATTCAGATCGGTCCAGTTCACTTTGGTGACATTGTGGGCCGTAAGCATAGAGCCGATGCAGATTCCATTTGAGTTGAGGGTCCTTTTTGGCGTTCCCACGAATCCAAGGATTGGCCACCTTTGCGTTTCAATGAGACCTTATCATCAGCGCTGCGAGGGCGGCTGAAAGTGTGGCAAGACCATGCATCACAAGGTGCCGTTTTGAGTATGAAAACAGATGATAAGTCCCTTGGGTGTGTGGGTGGTGAAAATGTAGGAATAGATACAAGAAATGAAAGGTCTAAAGAAGAAGTAGGAGAGGGACCAGAATCACATATTCCTGGTTTTACAAGACCAACAGCAACGGCCTGGCGCAAAGGCTTGGTGGATACCGGCCTGGCTGCATGGCTTTCTGAAAGGCCAGCGGTGGCAGTCTTGGGAGGTACCTTGTCAATCTAGTGATTACACAAACACCTATACTGTAGCCTATAGCCTATGTACAAATGCAGATGCTGATTTGGTAACACGTATGAATGCAAGATTTGTAATGATTGTACAATGCCAGTGTGATCACAGCATAAGAAGATGACAGGTTCCGTAGTGCCACGCTTCTAGCCCTCATGGCTGTCGTGTCTCTACCATTTCCCGAAGAACCTATGTTTGCCTCCCCAATCCATGGTGAGCGGTACCACCACAGTTTCCTACCTGTCCTTGCTGCTTTGCTAGCAGCGACTGAGGTGCCCTTTTTGTCCATGGTGGTTTGCCTCCAATGAGCCGTTCAGAACTCGAAGAGCTCGCAAAAGGCGAGAAAAGACTTGGAAGTGTTGACATGTCAGGGTTCCAAGGTGGCGATTCAATTTTGCTGCTATCGATTCACAATTCACAGCTTGTGACTGGATCATTCATTTTCCAGCGGCGAACGGCCAGAGTCAAACAGCAAGGCACAACATCCAAGCAATAAAGTTTGCTGGTAGTGCTTGGTTCTTTTGTTATGGTGCCCAAGTGATTGGGAGCGGTTCCAAGTTCTACAAAGTACTGTCAACTTTTGTTGTTTGTGCGGAGTTTGGTTCAGCTTGTGCCAGCACGTGGGCCAAATATGAGGATTTGAATCGACTGCCGGTGATGCAGCTGGGTTCTTCAAAGGCCTGGAACAAAGATGCGCCACGGGCAGTTCCTGAATACCAGTTCAACCAGCCAAAGCATGCTCAGAAGATTCAGATGATTTCGCAGCTTACCATGAAAACTTCACTTTGTGATTTGTGTCTCCAGGAATGCCGGGATGCATCACATCTGAACTTCCCGACAGTTTTCGGTTCAGAAGAGATTGGCTGAAAGATTTCTCGGCGCCATGTTCTTTTCCTGTTGCTGTGCCGATGGCAAGGCCTCTGGCTCCACGGTTGTAGCAAGCCAGCCTGAGGACCAGCCGCCCATCATGGCCGAGCTCAAGGCTGAAGTGAAGCAAGCCCTGGGGAAGCCAGAAGACTTGGAAGACAAGATGGAAGAAGCCAAGGCACGGCGCAGCACTTTGCATTGCCGCATTTGGGGGTTGAACAGGGATTCTTTTGGATTCCCCACCTTGAAACAATTCCAAACCTAGACTCCCAACCTCGCCAGACAGGGAGGACTACAGTGACTACAGCAGGTTTTTTTGGGGTCGGATATCGTAGTGCAAGGTGTGCCGGATTCAGGAGTAGTTAGGTTGGCAGACATATTAACATATTATAGCATTATATCATATTATCGTGAACATATTGCATTTATTGTAATTCAATTGTGGATCAACAAGCTTTGCAGTTTTCTTCTCCAGATGTAGATCAATCTGACACGTAATTGTGCGATTGTGTTTCTTTTGGTCCTTTGGGTTAGGGTTTCATGTAAATGGATGTTGGATGATGTTGGATCGAAAAATACTGCATGCTATTTCCAGAAAGGTGGAAGTTGAGGAGAAGGTTGAAGAGGTTCAGGAGAAGGTGGAAAAGGTGGAGGAGAAGGTTGAAGTCAAGGAAACCAAGCCAGATACCAAAGAAGAGATGTGGGTGGAGTTCACCGCAAAAGGGACGAAACAGGAAGGAAAACTTGGGTGCAGCGTGGAGACTCTGATGAAGGACTTTTGCATCGTCAAGCGGGTTGAGCCATGGTGTTCGCTCAAAGATGTGGAAGTCTTCGACCGCATCGTGAAGGTGAATGGAATCGGAGCAAAGGCTGCCAGGCTGAGGCTTTCTTGCATGTAGTTTGCTTGGGGTCGGCCCATTGATGTTTGCATGCATGTTTGACACAGACAGTAGCGGCTGCGGGTTTGAAAGCATGGTTGCCTTGGGGTTGCCCCTTTGATTCTGTCAGTTGTTGACAGGACTGACTTGGAGGAATGATAAGGCATTATATACTATTTTGGTGTGTATATATATATATATACGTGTTTTTGCTGTATTGCTTGGCAAGAAGTATCCCCAACATTCCCCGTGTGCACAAGTGCACAAACCATTTGCACTAAGAACCAAAATCTTGGTCGAGAACGAAGATGTGGAGCTTTCCATTCAGCGTCCCCAGAAGAAGGAGGTAACTTTGGAGAAAGGTCGCCAGGATGAAATTACCCTCTTCATTTGTCAGTTTTTGCACAGTGGATCAACAAGAGCAGAGCCAACAAAATGGATTGCAGTTCAAGGTCAACAACTGGTTTTTTGGGTGCTGAGGCATTGATTTTGGGATTTATGCCGAGATGGAGACCACCGGAGCTGTCATCAGCACAGTCTCCGAGGAGGCCTCAGCCCTTGGTCTCAAGCCCATGGACCGGATTTCTGCCGTGAATGGGACCGAAAACATGACCGTGGCTGAGGTGCTAAGGTCTATCAATAACCGTGAAGGGCCTTTGCGCCTGGACATTGTCTCTTACAGCCCGTAAAGGAGACCAAAGAGTGCTTCGGGTGACTAGAAGGTGACCACCAGTGGTGACTGAAGCGTAGCCCCAATCACAACCTTCAACTGATCTGGGCCGCACCCTTTTTTCTCGCCGTAAAACCCCGCGTCTGGCGGGAAGGCTATGGCTAGGATCACTGCCGGCGAAGCCGCAGAAAACCTTGAAGCTTGATGACTGGAAAAAGTGGAGTCTTTTGAACAGGTCGCAGTTGGCGACCATGCACGAAGGATCATGGTATATAGGTATGTATATGTATATATAGTAGTAGTATAATATTGGTATATAGGCCCTAGGCAAGAGACACAGCCCAATTGAAGAAGGGAAGGTGATACGGTGCCACTGCAATTGAACTGAGATGCAGCACGGCGATTGTGGTGGGGAGATTGTGGGAAGGCACACCAATCCAGTGCCGACAGGCAGAAACCTGGAGATGCTGCACGAGGCTGCGTTTACTTGACACAGAGACCTTGAATTGATGTGAATTGCTTAACAATGATAACGGTGACCAACAAACTATCCTCCAAATCACGCAGGGTTGCGCAGGGCCAGGCAATCCTCAACTTTTGCGCTTGAGGCACACATCCCAGACATCCTGCACCTATGCATATGTTTGGGAAAAAGATGACTCCATACTGCTCTCATGAACTGAACCACGGTCTCACAGTCGCAGGCTTTGACCTACAGAGACTTTCATGGCAGAGGTGGGTGCAAGGAAGTTGACAAGGTCCCAGAGCTGAGTCTGAGGTTGAATTGTCCACTAGTCCACGATTTGGTCCAAGTGCTGCACCGCCAAGTCCAGATCGCACATCTGAATTTTGTCGAAAGTATATACTGAAAAATTCACAGTGATGGACCTGCAGCACAGTTGCATCCTATGCTGTTTGTACCCGATTGCAGTTCGGCGGATACTTACTACTCAATTGTATCGATGCAGCTTCTGCTCCGAGACTGCGACACTGCGACACCTCCAATTGCTTTTCCAGCAGATGACTGCACTCTCCATACGCGATTGTTTTGCTAATTCCTCCTGCAAGACGTCAAACACGCCAGGATGAAACTAGATGGACCAGATGTGCCCGGTTTCAGGAACCTCCATGATTGTTCCATTCAGCGCGTCACCCTTTCCAGCGGCCTTCTCAGGCTCTGGAGCTTGTGAGGCCTGAAGGTGTGCAGATGATCATTGTGGGGCACACTGCCGGACGCAACGTTGGGCTTCCCAAAAGTGGGTCAGACGAATGGCTACTGTACACAGGAGTTCGACCATGGCCTACTAGATGCAAGATGGTCGGGCAGATTTTGGTTTGAAGATGATTTGATACATTTTGATACTGACCTAGGTTTCGCATCAAGAACAATTAAACTCCTAGCGGCGAGCCTAGCGGTCCCCATATCAAGTTTTGGACATGTGCTCCCAGCGGTTGTGGATGTAGCGCGGTTTGGTGCCCCCAAGTTTTTTTCAGACACCAAGATGATGCGGACCCCATCCTTTGCTCAAGGTTCGGAAGCTTTGCAGCGGTCGGCTTCTGGCAGCGGACAGTTCTTTGAGCCGACATCCGGCTTGTAACGAGTCTCCAAACCAGGAAATGAACAGAGAGAACGAGAGAGGGGGAGAGAGAGAGAGAGGGGCATGTTGCTAAATTGTTCTCTCTCTCACACACACACACGTTCAGTGCAAGGACTGACAGAGAGTGTGTATATATATATACATATTACATACAGTATGTATATATATATATATGTATGCACATGATTTGCGGATTACGCATCAAACCTAATTTCCTCACATGTGTTATACTAATATGTATATATATAATATATGTACACATTATAGTACACACACACACCAGCTTTGCTAACATGTTAAAACGGGATGTAGCAAAATTCCTCGATTGAACTGTTTTGTTGCTGGTGTCCAGGGTGCCTTCACAACCCTAAAGTGGATGCTGGTCAGCAAGACATGGGGCCACAAAGCCACTCAGGCAAACATGCAAAGAGCGCAGCACTTTTACCCCAGTGCTTACTGAGTACTTACTGTAAGTCAAACTACTTGATGCACAGATGCGGCGACTTCCGACGAAGGGCCTTTTCTAGGGTGCACCCGGTCAATTAATTAAGGAATAAGCGGGAAGTGATCCAGAACATTTCAAGAGCTGCTATAATTCCTGCATGAAGTCGAAGACCGGTCGCTGTACTAATGTAGTGTTGCGCGGCGTTTGGCTACAAGCACTTGCTATCATCACACGTTTCCCTCTGAAGATTTGATAGGCCCGAGGTAGCCCGGAATGCACCCTACGTAGTCGCCTGGCCAGGGAGTGATTTGCCTTGGCCATCGCGGTGACAGGGTGGTCCACGAACTCTCAACGTCCACTGCCACAGGCACAGGCGCTGCGTCCCATTGTCAGGACGTAATTTGTATGGTGTGGACGCGCAAAAACATCAAACATCCTTTGTGAAAACATGCTATATTTTGAGAGCATGGCTCCTGCCCGGGAAGTGTGGCTCGTAGTGCGAGGACTGGTATTGGGCTGGTGCACTTCAGCCATTCCCATGGAAACCAAAACGGGGTTTGGGGCATTGGACATATTACTCAGCATAACCCAGCTGATGCCAGTGTTCTTGAAGATGTTGCAAGAGCCAAAAATGGATGCAATAGCACGCCTCTCCTTGAACAGTCCATCCTTTTTTTCCTCTCTCTCTCTCTCTCTCTTTCTCTCTCTCCCTCTCGAAAAAAGGAAGAGGGAAGGCCGGCATCTTAATCTCCGGCCACATCCGGCATCCTGTTGCAGACACACGTACAATAACCTTTGCCAGGCGTTTTGTCATTTCAACTAGAATAATCATGTCACATGTCCTTCGAATCCTTTGAAGAAATGATAAGATCCCTTGCACGTGAATAACTTTCCGTCACGCCATAGACAGTTAGTTTCCTTTGATCTATGCTATCAAAACGATCGCTCCTTGACCCCACCTCCACTTGGCAACAATCAGTGTGCACTCAGAAGCCCGCATACACAGCATTTCAAGCCTCACGGTTGCATTCTCCCACCCAAGCGATTTCAATACCAACATCCCTAGACCACTTTCCACTTTCCCTCTCATGGCTCTCATTGTGATCCGCGCACGACAGGCTTCCTTGTTCCTCCAGTGTCAACGAGAGAGATTTTGAGCGGCATAGTTTGTGCACAATGCATTCCAAATACCCTGTGCCCTGTATATCATGTGCATGCTTCACCCTTGTTGGGCTACATTTGTTAAGGACAGCGAGTGTTTCTTTAGTTCCGGCCCTGGCTACTACACCTGAGACGACCTTTTGTTTGCACCAAATTCATTAGACTTCTCAAGAATTTGGAATGATGAACTCTCAACAACTGTATTTCCTTTGATCATCCGCTGAAAGCAAGCAAACTCAAAGATGGAGACAAAGTGGGAGGTGCGGGGACGATACGCTGCTTGTTTGTCAATGCCAAGACTATAATAAGTCCGGTTTGGGATGGTTTCTGCTGGAATGTCGGAAAGCCTCATCAAACGATGCAGCCACATTTACATGACCTGCCATTTTAGCACCAGCGTCTTGATACTCAGCTTTTCTCAGTGGACATGTGTTTAAGCAAGAAACGATCACCGCCTTTCAATGGAGCATAAACAAGGGGTTGACCCTTCACATGTGCGCTTGGCACAAGGTGCCAGGACTGGATTTTGGACGCCTGATGTTGTCCGTTTTTGAGAATGATGATAGGGGTGAGATTGTGCATATCAGTGACCCCATCCAGTTGACCGCTTCCTTTCTATTTGATCTATTTGTGTTTGTGAAGTTGAGTGATTGATTACTGTAAATCTACAGTACGCTTCAAGTAAAGCGATGCTTGGCCACATTTAAAAACACAACTGCACTATATTGCACTGGCGGATGTCTATATATTGTATATTATACATATATACCCGTTTGTCATGTCAGTGAGGGGGTTGTGTTTCGTGGATCGCCACAGGGATTATTGTTTTTCTTTTTTTGTGAAGCTGCCATTTTGCAGGATGCATCAATGCTCTTTGCCCGTATTCAGAAAATGGTTTGGGAACAAGCCTAGGATATACTAGTTACTATTAGATGACCACGAGAAAGTTGCCCAGTTGCCCAGATTGCTCACCAGCTTTGTCACGAAAGCTAGCGAAGCTAGCTGGAGTTACTCTTGCGATAGCAAGGTTTCTTTCGACCGGGTGCAAATCCTAACCCCTGATTTTTCAGGTCGAAGACCCCCCCCC